GGGGGGGGGGGGGGAGGTTGCGGGTAGTGTTTTGCCTGGAGTACGAAGAAGTGGAGGGAGTTGATTGGGTTGAGGTTTAAACAGGTGTGGGGAGATGACGGAGGACGGTGGGTGAGGGAGCAATGATGGTGTTTTGGACGGGAGGGAAGTGTGGGAGAGGGAGTGAGGTTGGTTTGAGTGAGAGGTGCTGCTACATATCACGATGATCACATGCTCAACAAGTAGAAACAGTATCAAATTCTCTGTCTGACCATCCTACATAGCATCACCAGGGGCAGCTACATCCCCTCTTCCGTCACTCTCCCTATTCACTACCCCTTCTTCCACTCGGGCTTGATAGGTAGTGCGGTGGAGGAGGACGGTTATTTTGCAGGTACATTCAACACCTCATCCCCTCACCCTTCCATCTCCGTGTTCCTAGAAGTTGTGTTCCCAGTGATTTTCTCCTTCTTCATAGAGGAAGTATCCGCTACCATCTTCCGCGCCTCCTGGTTCTGCAGTTCAATATTCGGTGCCTGCGTTTTGCCAGAGGTAAACATCTCCGAAAACCTCCCCCACAGCCCCTTCGGCTCCTTCATCGAAAATTCTTCCACCCATTCCCGAGGAAACCAACCTCTTTTCCTTCCAGATCCACCCCATCTTCCTTCCATGTCCCAGGAGGTGGAAGCGGAAGGTGGAGATTGTGTAGGTGGAAGAAGAGAGGCGGAAGGGGCCGGACCCGGACGCGGAACCACACGGAGATGCACGATAGGATCATCCCCTTCTACCAAATCCGCCAAGTGACAAAGTTCCTTTGAGGACTCAATCAGTTGAACGTGTTTTTTGTAGACTGGCCTTATGTCTTGTAGGGTAGGAAGCAAGAAGCGGTGTTCGAAGAGGGAAGCGCAGAGTAATCGTTTGATTCGTTTTTCGTGCCATTGCAGGCGGTCTGAGGAGGTACATTGGCAGACTAACTTGCCATCCTCATTGGGGGTAAACTGGTCATTGTTACAGCCACAGTCTCGGTTGAGGAGCTCGATGCCTTCGGGCATGGAGACCAGGAAATCTATGAAACGCGGATGGATGGGAACAATGGCGCGGTTGGCGAAGGGGATGAGGTCGGCGTAGTCGTTTTCCTCGTATATGGTCTTGCCATTCCCTGACTTTAAGCTTTTGGGAGGCAAGACTTGGTGATGAGGTTCCATATCCTTCAGCACGACGAAGGGGTATAGGTCCTTGTTGAGTTTGTTGGCTGTTAATTGGCAATTTTGCCAGAGGCGGTCAACTGTTTCTGTTGAGGGGTAGAGAGGCAGTTTGTTCCCCTTAGCCAGAACAACTTCAAGGAGGGACAGGGGCCGATTTTTCAAACGGACCGAGGTGAAACGATAGGAGTGGTTGTGGGCGAGGATAAGGTTGAGATAGTATGAGATGTCGCGGGAGTCGTTGAGTTGGTTGACCCAACAGATTTGAGAAAGCATGGAGCTGTAGAGCCTGAATGATCTTGGTAGATGGACGTCAGCATCAGTTCTGTCCCGGACCAGAAGGGCATCGCGTTCGTGAAGTCTTCCGAGTTCCAATTCTTGATTGTAGCACAAATCATTTTTGCTGTCATAGCATGGAAAACAGGAGGACCAACAAGACGGCACTTCTTCTCCATCTTCATCAAACTTGGTCTGGGAATGACGATCCAAAGCGTCTTGTAACACTTGGTAACACCCGTTGGCTTCCCTCACAATTTCTTCCACCGTCTCTTCCATTCTCTTCTGACGCCATCTCGGGGTCTTCGTGCTGTAACCTTTCTCCAACATGCCGAACCTGTGGCGGCAGATAAGTTTCATGTCATTGCCGTTGATGTCCTGGACACGAAGCATCGGCGCTTCCACGCCAACTGTCATGACTGACCCAGATTTGATGACTTTGCGAGCAAGATGGAAGTCGTGGAAGTCTTTTTCCGGTCTACTCGCTACGATGATTTTGATCGAATTCGTTACGGGCATGGCAGCTGTATTACCCCCGGCTTGTTCTCTGTCTTTGATTTTGTGCCAAGGTTGGATGTTGCGAACTTTCTCAATGAACTTCGTGAAGTGGAAATAGTCCGCGTTGTTATCCTCCCAGGTCTGCGTTCTGAAACCTGATGGTCCATCCAAAAATATGTAAACCGGTCTGAACGAATCCAACCCGGTCAACGCCGCGATGAAGTATTCCTCCAACCACTTGGTTGACCAATGCGAGTTTTCCGTGGGAATAAAGTTGTCCTTCCATGCCTCTCGAGGGATGTAGCTGGGTAGAGGAACATCCACATCGCTCATGCCCAGTAGTTTGTACCACCTTTGCATGAAGATACTATCAAGCACCAATGGCTCTTGCTCGAAGAGTTGGAGAAGCAGATCGTTGAGCATGTACCGATGGGTGTTGTAGAACGGATCTTGTCGGTCTTGGTAGAAGTAGAAGAGTACAATTGGGTCCCGATCTCCTGTATTTCCGATGGGCTTGAGAATAGAACGGTTGCGAAGAACCGTATCAACGATCAGCCTCATCAAAACGCTTTTACCAACACCAGGATGACCAGAAATCCAGAAAAGATTTTTCTGGGCCGTGGCGTTTTCTGTGCTGTTCTCCGGAATCGCTTGAAGCCAGTTTATGAAGACCCTACGTCCATCCTCCGGTTCAGTGCTTCCGTCATTGTCAGTTGCCAGTATCCATCGAAGCGCACCGCTCTTCATACTGGGCTTCCGAATGCGATGATACCGACCGCCTCGCTTGGGGCTGAGTTTCAAGCTGTTCAAAATATGAGATCGAAGAACGCCAATTGGAGGCCGGTACACATAACTTTCCCTAAAATCCCAAAATTTGTCATTGTATCTGGGACGGGACATCCGGATATGAGGTAACAGTCCATCTGGTAACTCGGGCAAAAGGCCGAGGATTTTGTTCGGCTCACGTCTTAGTCCAGCTTCACCATCATCGTGAAGGGCGACTACCAGGTTACACACGTTTTGTTCGATATCCTCATGAGGCAGGTAACCAGAGGTAAAGTGGCTGCAGTTGCAAAGAAAAGCTGCTTCTTGTTCGGAACTGTACGGTGGCGTAGTGTATTAGCATGACATCCATCCGTTCATATCGTAAGCATGAATGCGTACCATATTGTTCGGAGAAAGCTGGGCTCCAGGATCACTTCAAGTATTTTATGCAGTTGCTGCAGTTTTGGCTTCGTCTCTTGCCTAAGTACCGAGAAAAGGGAATCCAGAGTCAGTGTCTTGCAGCGTGGAAAGAAAATTGGTGTTGCCTTACGAATCCGGGTTCCTGGTTCTTACTAAAGACTATTTATGCTGTGTTAGACGTCTCGCTATAGCTATCGCTCGTCTCATGATAAGAGGGGTGCGGTACACCATCCAGGACTTACCTCGTACGTATCCCGTAGTACCATCGAGTATGCAAGTATTTTGCTATGCAACACTTGTATTGACGCTACTTTCGGCGTTGCCTCGTAGACCTTTCGTAGATGGCAAAGAAGGAGATACTCACACATTGTATCAAAAAAGTCGTGGTATTTGGCTGCGGTTTGCTCCTGGGACACTAGGTATGGCTGGAGTTCATCGAACATCTGGACCGTATAGGCTACCTTGATAATCAACTGAAGGGCTGCAAATGCGTCCATTCTTACGGAGTCGCCAGACTCGGGACGGACATTCATACGGAGATCCGTCCAGGCACCCATAGCATGGCCGGTACGATATGGGGAATAATAGCCTGCCATCTCCGTTGGTTCGGGTGAATTTTCCGCTGGCGCGATGATATTGGATTGGGCAGACATCGTGGTAGGAGGCAAGGCCTTGCCAGACTGGAAAATGTTCGTTCGTCAGAGGAATGAATTCGAGCTTGGGCTTCTGCTTTTGTTCTTGTGGATGTCCGAGTCAATCTGCCAAGTATATACGCATGGAAAGGAACTGACCTGCCTCTCTGTCCCTGGTTTTCATGACTGGAACGGGACACCAACCCGGGCGGCTAACTCACAATGATCACGCTCACATTTTTTCTGTGCGAGGCGCGAGTCTTTGTCGAGAAAGGTGAACCAACACCAACCAAGACCGACATAGATGAACCAACATGACTGAATAAACGTCCTTCACAATCCAGCATCTGGTGAAAGAAAATCACGGAATTGTTTCCTGCGTGCCTTCTGTTATTTTTCGCTACATGCCTGCGCTGCCTGTAAAAGCGTTACGATCGATCTTGCCAGTTCCAAGCGCCGGAGGTTATTCCTTCCCCTTCCATATGGCCATGACGCACACTAAGTGGAAAGTCTGGAGAAACCTCGCAGTCCCGTCGTCGATCACTGCGGCACTTATTTCATGTGGATTGAAGTGACGAACTTACTCGAAGAAATGATAGAAAGACGGCGGAGTGATGCGTCTCGCAAACACCCTCGGGAAAAGCACAGTATCCAACCCTAACCCTGTTAAAAATTGGCTGCATACGATTGATGCTGCGAATGCATGATGAACCCACAGTTCACAGACAAGGATACTGCTTGTACAAACGAATGCCAAGATCTGGTGATAGCTTCAACAACATCAGCTTCATCATGTAGCTTATGGAAGATCGCACAACCACACTGCCATTCTTATCAAGTGCTGACGGTAGCACTTGTCTATTTTGAGGTTCTGTAAGGAGGGGAACCGCATTTTGAGGTCATTATAGATGACTCACCATGCACCATCTTCTCGCTTTCACTAGTAGAATATGAGTGAGAAGGGGCAGGAAAAAAAAAAAAAAAAAAAAAAAAAAAGTTGGTTGGGCAGGAACACATCTGAATAAAGAAAGCTCCTTTCGCCTAGGTGCCAGCTACTACTGAATGCGGGACACTGCCGTGCCTGCCCCTGGTGGCGATGTTGGTGGTCGGTTGGCATCGGTACAACAACCACACATGCCGTCAAGCTACCCCCCTGAATCAACTCACTCGCATGCATTTGCCGTTGCAAAGACTTCAACTGCCAATCAACTTTCACTCTTTCTTTCTCAATGCACAAACAACATCGCACAGCCGGAATTTGGATGCCAGTCTACCCAACAGAACAGTTGTCAAGTAGAAACGCCAACTCAGAACCTGCATGTTTTCCTTGGGACCTCGACAAGAAACTGAAGCTGTTTCGAAATCGCAAAGAACCTAAAAGGAGTACAAAGACCAGAAAGACCGATCCGCTGCGAGGTAAAACCTCGTTCGAACCCCATATCTCATCATCCCATGTTAGACTCCAGTTTTCATATCAAACCCACCCTCCCTAATCCATACTAACCTAATGTTATCTGGGAAAGTAGCTTCTCAACTTATTTCACTACAAGTTCCATGGGTTCCTTACCCGAGATATTTGGTTGCCTTAGCATCGGGAGGACGACACAAGATTTGCCTGCCAGTTTCCATGATAGGTACAATTATTATGTAATGATGCCGAAGACTGGAACAACGTGACTACCAAATCGTTTGACTCGATACCTTCAACGACACTCCTATGTAGAGCCTACAAACGGTTCTTGGCATACTTTTCTTTTGCCCTTTGTTCCATCTTCCACTTGTTCATGTGTATCTTATTCATTCTTCGAGGTCTGATCTCGGGATATTCTTATTCCGACGAAACCAACGCCGAGACTGTAATGCCCATGCCGCTAAGGGGAAAACGCGTCCCCTGAAATCTTGCAGACAGATGACAACTTCTGATGTTTTGAGAAACACGACCCAAGGGAAACAAACTCAGGAGAGTTCCCAGACAAGATGCCATCCATTATCAACTTATGTTAGACGCATATCAAACACAACCCCCCTGGTCCATGCTGAAGCTGGAGTAATCTGGGACAACATCTTCTTATTTTATGCCATGATCCATGAGTTTCTGACCCGAAATAGGGCTGTCCTGGCATTCAGAGGCCGGGCGTGCTTTCCCAATCCGATGTTGTAGGCAACGATCCTGAAAATAAGCACAATGGGGACCTGGTGTTAGTTGGTCCGGGGTTTGAAGGACACTCGCCTAGAATGGCATGCAGCACGTGTCTCACATTGAGCTCGCAACCAGTTCTTTGTTTTTGTTTGCTGTTTTTGCTCCAGTCGGGTGTAGTTTGAAGTATAATCGGGATAGTGATGCTCCAACGAAAAGCTGGAGGAAAAGCAAGACGTCGACGCTACCGTAGATGCCCGCGCGGTCAAGAAACCATCCCATGTCGAGACAGACCGATAATTCCTAACATTATAAGCTGTTCTTGTCCACTCAACAAGCGCATACGACTATCGATGGTAGAAAACTTGTGATCCCGTCCGCTCTTTCATAGTTGTCTCGTATCGTTTGCCTGGTACCTAGTGCTGCGTCGGTTCTTTGCGAATGAATTTCGATAACATTGAGAAGGGGAAGCAACTTTACCCTGACAATGGATCACAAGGATCATTGCGGTTATATTCGTTTCGACGTACACTTGGTAGGTATTTGACCGAGTTACCGGCTACATACCGCCGGGTTTGGATGCCGGCAATTAGCTTCCAAGACGTTGATGACACTTGGTGTAGTAGAGTTTCATCCAACCTCGCTACACTAGAGTGTGTTACTATAATCTTTACCCCTGGAGTTGCAACCGCCCCTTGTGCTAAACCCTACTTGTCATGCGCCAAGCCAATTGAGTGCCGGATTTGCAGACCCATACTTGAACTATGAACTGCTAATTACAATAGTAATGGCCCGATTTTTGCATTAACAGGGGCCAAGCTTTGGTGGGCGCGACCACTTATACCCCTGTATCGGGGCTCAGCGACCCACTTCGGTCCGTCCACAGTCCTTCAGTAGCCCTAAACTCTTACATACTTTGGGTCTATGCTGGATCCCTCTTTTACAAACAACACCCTACTTATTACAAGAAAACTCGCTGCCTGAATTGAATTGCATGAACAGGGGTAGAGTCTAGAGTTCCCTTAACCCGAGAGATTGGAACTAATTCTCCGTAGCTATGTAAACGAATGCCCATTGGCGTTGTACTAATGAAGCTTATCTCTCGAGGCGTGCAAGTTGATGCGCCCCACACACTCCCAGCAGTAGGTACTTGACAGTTTGGATGTCAGCTAGGGAAAAACTACGATGGCACTGGTAGACGCTACCAGGGCTGGAGCATTGTAGTGTAGATACGTACCTTCCCGTCGTGCTTCAGCTGTGTCCTGCACGTAAGGCGGACCAGGGGCACCTTGTGGTCTCTTCATTCCTGCCGCGCTAAAATCACTTTAGCTTCAGTTGTGTCAGTAGCTCCAGGGTTCTGACTAGCTAACGGCGTGTATCTAGGCTCGCACTGACTACACGGGTACAGTATCAACCGTTGAAAGTGCAAACAATCAATATAGGCCGTTAGACTCTGCACTTTGTGGGTGTTGGGTATTCGGCACGCAGACTGTGTAAACGGCTTCCCAGAAAATGGAACTTCAAAGCCCCGGTAGCCGGGCAGCCGGCTGCCGGGTATAAATATCATGCCACCAAAACTAGACCCCTGCGCAAGTGCAAATCCGGGCCAAAGTCTGTGGGGGTCAGTGTTGCGTGACAGTGGGCTCGCTCGCTGTCTGTCGGCATTAAGCAAGGAAGAACTCCAAGATTTCTTCCACCCCGGCACGGGCCCTCCGCTTCCGCGGTCACGTCTTTAGACCTGACCCTTGCCAGGAACAGCGCAAGTTCTTCCACACACTTTTCATACCAGTCAGATGGTAGCCCATCATCATCATTCCCAAGCCAAGTCAGGAACAGCGAGATCGACTATACAGTACACATCAGAGAGGCACAGTAGCGAAGCCCACTAGCGCGAGAGTATTCGAAGGAACTTTAACGAATTCTCACTACCGGTTCAGGCGTTGAAAGCTCACCTCCTCGAGCACATACAGCCAAGACCGACCGGAGAAGACTCTCCTGGGTTGTCATTACCTAGTAGAAACCCAAAGGTGCAGCACCGTAGGTTCCAGCTCTCTCGCGTCGGGTATTATCCGTACAAATGTAACCAAGGGAATGCTAGCGAATGCCGAAGCCTTGTGGTGTAGTGTAAATAGTCCCCCCAGCGGGCGAAGTGGCACTAGTTTTTTCCCTCCCCTCCCCCTCCTCCTGATCGTCGAGTTTTCTTCCCACGCGTAATTTCTCCTAGAGGTAATTTCCGATTGGCAAAAACACTATACCTCAACCAGTACTAACTTAGCTGCTTGAAGTATGTTTTGCTTGCTCAAGTAAGTTGATGGTTCAAACATTAAGATCGCGGCTGTCTGGCACACTCTAATCTTGGCATTGCGACCTCCATACAGATTCAGGGGTGGGTAGGCAGAGTGTAGACAGAAGTAAAGTTTACAAAGAGGCTGGTATCCGTCCATTGCATGTCTGGAGTCTTTGGCAATGTGTGTCAGCAAAGGTCCAGAACGCGAAAATAGATACACATCGATACTCGCCCAACACTCTTGTTTCGTCTCGACGCCTCAGACCGGTTTACCGTGAGAATCGGGAGAATCACACGCCGCACTCAACATGGTGCTCTATGAGGACCGCGGACCGAACGTAGCCGCGGCTGTCATCACGATGGTAAGTCGTCCAACATCCTCTTCCATTTCCGCGACGCTTCTATCAAGTTGTCACTTCGTATCACCGGGCTGACTTTGTCTCATAGTAAGTCAGAAACAGGGTGTCTCTTATTCCCGCAGTATCTATCTTCTGGATGATACCTACCTACCCTCCCCTTCCTTGCGATGGACGCCCATATCATCAGCGTCACTTTTACCCTAATATCTACCTACCTACCATCCGTATCCGGCAACAT